AGACGGCAAAGTCCGCATTAAATTTTAAACAAAACAAAAAACTACTAATCAAATTTAACAGTGGAAAAAACGTTCGTGTGGTGTGATCGGAATCTCGGCAAGAGAGATTGACGTAGGAGTGTCCGAAAATAGGCCAACGGGTCGTGATGGCCAAATCAGGTTCGTGGAGCCGAAAGAGTAGTGCCAAGCCCAGGTCGGGCTGAAGTTGTGCCACGCTGGAAGTGCCAGTGGAGCCGCAAGCATCTGTCGGGCCGAAGCAATCTGTTGGAAGAGCCAGTGAAGCCCGGAACTTTGTCTGACCGAAAAAAAAACCACGTGGGAATATCCAGACCGTGACCGAACAGTACATCCCAGACGGAAAGCAGATCGATCGGAGAAGTCGAGATCGAGTTGCTTTTGTCAGAACGTTGACGTTCGTTTGAGTGTACCACGTGGGAACTCCAACCCCGAAGAGCCTCGCCATCGACAGACGGGTCACAGAACCTTGGTTAAAATCAGCCAAGCCTCATTTTCCTGGAATAGACGCCTTTCCTGACGCATAAGAGCGTAAACGCGATGATCGATTTTCTATTCTGTTAATAACTCGCGTTAATAACTTAGCGTTTCTCGGTGCGTTTTCTAGAGCTTTTGATAGCCAATACAACCTGTTACAGCACTGCATGGCACAAATTCTAGAAAATTGTTTCGCTTAGCTGTAGCAATGCAAAGAGAAAACCGATGAAGATAATCGATCATCGCGTATACGCCCTTATGCATGCCCACTGTCAGTTTATTCTCTAATACTAGAGCCTTAAGTTTGCATGCGAGTCCTCTTCTAGTCGCGATTGGTTTGGTTGGTTGTCCGTGGTAGGTAAAAAGAAATTCCCCAATCGAACTGTTAAATATAAATTAGGCCATTGCAAATTTATACACTGAAGTCTTTTTACGCGGTTTTTTTACACATTTTTTTACACAGTTTTTCGCGATTTACACGGTACGTTTTTAACAATTTCTCGACAACGATACAACCTATCGACTTGATTCCAATCACATTATCCGTTTCAAGCTATAGGTAATCGAATGGCATACTTTAAAAAAAATCACAATTTTTGGTGTAAATACAGAAATTTTTTAAATATGTCGTAGCCGGGAGCTTCGTTAAAGTTCATAGGATGTTTCAGAGTTTCAAGGGACTTCATAAATAATTACGTGGAAGTTCAGAAAATAACGAAGTTCAGGAAACTTTCTTGAAATGCAGTAAATTCTGAAGAATTATTGCAAACTTTGTAGAATTATATTGAACTTTATATAATTTAAGATAACTTTTTTTTAAATTTCTGTGAACTATATAAAAGTTCAATTAAATTTGTAGAAAGTCAGCGATCTCCGTATGAGTACTGAGAACTATATTGAAGATTCTTTAAATGTTGTAAAAGTTTAGTGTTCTTTGCAGAGCTTCATCAAACTTTGTTCTCAAAAAGAATCTTTAGAGTCAAGGAATTTCAATGAAGATCAGGCATACTTATATATAGCGGCACCGGTGGTGTAGTGGTAAACGTGATTGCCCCTCACTCCAAAACACCTGGGTTCAATTCCAGTCGGCGCCGTCGGGGTTCTTTAAGGCATAAAATCTCTAATCACGGAAGTAAAGCCGTTGGTCATCTGTACATGAGTTGATTATGGGTCGATAGGTAGGGTCTAGTTGTGGGAGCTGCCTTCCTGGCATCCGTAGCATTGGTACTCAGTACGGAAAACAAGATCGACGGAAAACAAATCAACGAAAAAAAAGGGAAGTTTTATAAATCTTCAGGCAATTTCGTAAAACTTCATGAACATAGTAGAAGTTCAAGAAACATAATAGAAATTCAGAACACTGAGAACCTATTCTGGAAACTTCATAGAGCTTAAACTGGTCGTGTTTTTCTAAGGCTGCCCGACTTAGCTATTGTTGCAGGAGAGCAAAACGCTAGGGTTTTCCTAACGGTTTCGAGGTGAATTCAAACGCAATGAAAGTGAACTAAAAATGATTGCAACCGAAAACGAACGCAAAGCGGAGCGTAACGCAGAAGTCACCCGGTGGACTGATTTACCACAAGGCTCTTGAACGTAAATGAACATACAACGCTAGATGAACATTTCAAGAGGTCCTATCTGCATTGACCAATTCTCTTCATCGACTTTCTCTTTTGTTAATAACTCAACTGCAAAAACATTCCCTGTTGTGTTTGACGTTTTGGATGCTCAATAAGAACCTTATATATCGAACTAAGCGGCAATAATAGCACGAAATCAGTTTGCATAGCCATGGTTATCAAAAGAGAAAGTCGACGAAGAGAATCGATCAAAGCAGATAGGACCTTTTGAAATGTTTATCTAGAACGGTAGTCTATGTTGAATTCATTTTATGTATATTGTCCATCTTTACTTAATTCTGGTGTGTGAGTGTGTGTGTTGTATTGAGTCATGGCCATGAATGAAACATACCTGCGCGGGGTTTTACTAAAGCCCTACAGTAAAAGTATGAACGACTGTCACCACAAAACTGAAAAAAAGCTGTTCCAATCGAGCAAAGCGGTGCATTTTGACGGTTCGATTGGAACAACTTTTGACAGACGTCCATACTTTTACTGTAAGGCTTTAGGTTTTACTGATGTGCTGGCAGCTGACAGTGCGGCAAACGGGGAGCGCACGTATACTGTGCTATGATTTCACGGTGTAGCGACGGTTTCGTTCGTAATGAAAGAGATTTCGACGCACCAGGGATGTAGCATCGACGGTGGATGCTCACGGAAACAACGGCCGAACTAAAGGTGCGGGGGAAGTCATCGGTGGACGTTGGTACTCTACCAGATCATCCGTTCGAGGTAACCAACGTGCTCCAAGTGGCCTTCACGTACTCTGATTCCGTTACGCAACCAGTATGGAACGGAATGAAACTACCACGTCAGGATTCGCAAAGCAGGCCAACGGAAAAACCTTTCGCCCCGTTTTACTGCCAGAAACTGGAAGGCCACAAAGCAGTTGCACCAGAAGCACACCACGTGTACGGAAGCCAAATAAATGACCGAGGGATTGTCTACGGGTTTCTAGCCCGTATAAAAAACGTCCGATGAACGCTCACTGTCCAACGAGAATTAAATTTTAGAAAAAATATATAATAAAATGGAATTCAATAAATTATTACCTTTTGTAATAAACGTACAATGCACAAGAGCAGAGTATTTGTGATTGTAACACGCCAAATACTATTGTTGTAAAACAAGTTAAAAGGAACAAAAGGAAACAATTAAATTCAATTTAGAGCAAAATTCAAATTCAATGTAGAGCAAATGAAAATAAATAATTTCCGTCAAAATTTAAACACCCCTTTAATTAGAAAAACCAAAAAGGAATATCACTAGACTAACTTCTGCTCTCTAGCCGACAATTATTGAAAGTGAACGAGAAATTAATTTTAACGAACTCTCGATCCATCAAATTCTCAGAATCATCATGTTTAACACCTACCACGATTCATTGAATCATTTTGGACAAGTTCACCTATTGGCCATATAATGATTCAACCTTGAACTCAAAAGGCCTATTGTATTGGAAACGGTAATTATATACAAATTTTAAAACTGCTGTAACATTATAGCATGCGATGGATTGGATTTTTCGAATCGAAAAGGGATCTTTGAATGTTTATCTTGAATTGGAAAAAAAAGTTCTAAACAAAAGAGATGTTTTATTTTCAAAATACTAGAAAAATACATTATGAACTAATGGAGAACGTTACAAAACCAACGACTGAAAAATAAAGAGAATTATATTGTTAAGAAGTGGGATCTTTGTGTTTATTGGATATCCCGAAACCTCACAAATGTTCACAGATCTTTTCTATAGGGCATTCCATTGCATTGAAATGGATTAGTACTACTTAAAAGATATTTTTTAAAAGTACATTGAACTCTGTACAACAGTGTGCACGTGCAGTGATCTTCGTAGTAGATCGAGGAACTTTGTAAAACATCATAAAAGTGCAGGGAATTTCATGAAAGTTCATCTAACTTCGTAGAAGTTCGTCGAATTGATCAGAAGCTCAGTAAACTTCATAAAAGCACCGAAATTTTCGGAATAGTTCAGATAACTACTTCGAACTTCAGAGAGTTTCGTTATTCAAAGACCTTACTTCAAAAAATTTCAAAAGTTCAGAGGATTCCGTTTAATTTCAGCGTCCTACCTAGATCATTATGATGTTCAGGAATACTCATAGAAAAGGTTAAGGGTCTTTCCATGTGCTTGAAGAAGTTCATAGATGATTCATAGAATTAAGAGAGCTTAGAAACATATGTAACTTGGATTAATTTGCGGGAGAAAAAATACCTTCACCGAATTCTAAAGCCATCAAAATGAAGACATGTCTTCGATTTTGGCATCCCTGGGCGGCTAGCTACTTGGATTTGAAATTGTAATTCCCGTTTGAAATAAATTGATTTTAAAGTTACAAATTCTTCTCGAAATCATTATGCCCCTGATTGTACCAGAGCAGGAAGTAATCTTCGGCCTCATCTCTTCATATAACTATTAGGTTGAGCTTAAGTTTCCAGGATACTACCCACAGTGTGCCAAATTGCTCAGCAAAAGCGTTTCTTCAGCAATGAACAAGATCTTACTATGTAACCCAGGACTGTGCAGACACCGAGGCTAGGGAAGACAAAACCAGAACTGAGATAGAGGAATATCGAGTAAGAAGTTGTGAGCTGTGATTTTTTTTAAGCTATGGGCTACATCATAAAATGCTACACATACAAATTTTATATCACGGGCTTAGCTAAAATATAGAAATCTAGAAGTGAAGAAATGTTAAGAATAACCCCCTCTATTTCGAATCCAGGCTAAATCAAGTAGGAAAGGGGTGTCATTTTCTTGGTTTGTTAAAGGCGTAGCAAACCCTCACTGCGGCACTGTTTACTGTACAACTAATTCATAATATCGAGCAATGTCATTGAAACTAACTCTATTAATCAATAGTAACTTACCTCCCTCACGCCCTTTCCTTTTCTTTTTCGTACTGCCAGATGAATTTGAAGAGGAGCTCTTGTCTTTACTCTTCCACCGAATGAGCATTTTGGAAATTTCTTTGCTCACACTTTCTCTGCTTCTAAAGATGTAGACGTTGATACACTTTTACGATGTGTTTTTCTTTTTGAATTAGAACAATTAACAACCGGGTTGAAGACTTTGTTGATTTGATTCCTCTTATTTATGCAACTTCTCGTACCACCAGTATTCACTGTGTGCGCATCAATGTAATCAAACGATTTTATGAACGAAGTTCTCCAACATCAAATGGACACTGTAAAAAGGAAACCGGTGAGCACCACATGCGCGGTACACATTTCCCAATGCTCCATCAGACCATTTTCCAACGTTGGAAACGTGTATCTACAACCACCGAGAGCAAATGCAAGTGAATCGGAAGGATTTTCAGAGATGTGCAACCACCCCTATTTAGATGCTGATAGCACGCACTTTTGCTAGTTTTAAGTTTTTGGAAGGATTGTTGAAATTTATAATTTGTATTTGTGTTTGTGTTTGTGTGTCGTTTTCGTTGTATATATAAAATATGATCCACAGAGCTTTATACCTGTTTTAGAACTTTGAACTTCATAATAGTACGTTCAGACTACAGAGTTTTAACATGTTATAGCGCTATCTTGATGGAAGCTTCTGTGTTGCAATTATTTGACAACCGTTATAACATGTTATAACTGCTCAGTCTGGCCACCGTGTAAGTACTTCAGTTAAGCATAGGGTAAGAAAACCAGTTATGGCATATGCACCACTTATAGCACAATCCCGTACACGAAATGGCACCAAATTTTGGCCCTACCCTTTATATCACATAAGCCATGACTGGTACATGCCCAAAGTGGAGCAAATTTGAAGTAGGCAACTGGTGCGCTTCCCCTACATAGTTGAGGTGTGAATTCAAATTAAATATTAATGCAGAAAGATGAACACGGTTGATTAATATTAAATTAAGGTTTCAGTAGGCATGAATACTTAATTGCACTCTTACAAGTTTCGAATGAATTTTAATTCCGACTTTGTAGATAGCTCACATACCCCGACCCTCATTACGTCAGAAAAATAAACTCAAACTTATTGGGATGGACAAATTTGTATCACTGAACATTTGCAACTTATATCATATTCAGAATATGTAATGCCTGGTTCAGAATTGAACCCTCGAAACATAATGATTATCAATGATATCAATGTCTTCAAGATAGCATTGCAACATGTTAGCTGACCATTCATTTATGTCTTGTTCAAAATAAAACCTTATTCAGAACAATTCTAGATTTTCTCCATCGACTTTCTCTTTTGATAACCACGGCAAACAGATTTCGTACTATTTTTGCCACATAGTATGATAAAGAACGTTCTTATCTAACATCCAAAACGTCAAACACAACAGGGAATGTTTTTGCAGCGGAGTTATTAGCGAAAGAGAAAGTCGATATAGAGAATCGGTCAATGCATATAGGAGCTCTTGAAATGTACATCTAGAATTGTTAACAAGAAAAACTGTGTTTATTTATTGACACATATAAAAAATCTCGATGATAGACTTCTCTGACGTTTATGACTTGCACAAGTATTAGTGTAGTACTTTGGGTAAATTCAAAGGTTTTCTTGCACTAATACTTATAATTTATCCCGAGTTCTGCACTAATACTTGTGCATTTCACAAACGTCAGAGAAGTCTATATTAATAAGTAAGTCATCGACAAAAATAATTCCTGAAAATCACATTAAAATTCAAAATCAACCCATATCCATTGAGAAATCCACTGTATTCTTCATAATTTACGACAGTGTTATAACCTCAATAAGTATGACAATTCTACTCAGTAAAGTAGTCAACAATGATACAACAGGACAGAGTCAACGGAAATATCTTGAACATAAAAGCACAGACAAACAGAGATAACATGGGTAATTTGTTCATCGAACACGCATTTATTTGATAATTTAAATGTTTTTAGTTGATAGTACCACCACCTGTGGCGGGCATAGCCAATATCCCTTGCGTTTGACGTTTACACATTACCGCCAGCTGATCAGCGTATTATCCATCACAGTATACTCAACAGATGGCGGTAGTGTTTTAGCGACGATGTTTTATATTGAAAAATATTCAATGTGTAATGTCTGTTATATATACTGTTACCAAAAAATCTTACTTATCAAAACTGAAAATAAGTTTGCAAGTGATTGACGTGCGTGAGGTGGAAGTGATTGTAAAAATTAATAATTTCATGCAAAATTTACATGTTCGAGACGAAAGAATGGTAATAATCTTGCGGGAGTATTATAAAACAATTGTTTAATACACGATGTACTTATAAATGTGTCATTGCCAGGGTTGCGAAGGGAGTGGAACAACATGGCGAGATCCAAGTTGTTTTTCATTGCATGAAACTATAATTAATACTGTTAAAGGAAAAAATGAAAAAATATCAACTTTTTTAATTTATATTTAATTACCTAATCCGAAAAATTTCCGAAAGCTCGGAAAAGGAACGGTAATGCATATACAAAAAATCATAGATTATCCATAAATAATACCGAATGTTCGGTAAAACAAATATAAATTCACAAAAAAAAATACAGATCGATTTGTAAAAACTTGTTCGGTATTGTGAAAACATATTTTTTAGGTAATTATAGATCTTTCGGTATCACAGAAATAATTACCAAACGTTGATATTTCGGTAAAATTTTACAGATATCTGCAAAAATATCTAAGTGACTATCAGATAGTTTCACTGGAATAAATGGAACTGATATTTAGAATAGAAAAAAAAATGTGGTGCAGAATTGTAAGTCTTGTTTTAGCTGATTGAAAAGGGCACCCCAGCGTAGTGGTGAGCATCCATACCTCTCACGCCAAAGTCACGAGTTCAAATCTAACCCCGGAAAAGTCACGAATGACCCAAGAGCGTTAAAATGACTATAAAAAAGCTCTCTTCATGTTGATTCTGCTTAGGGTAATACCACGTGGACACCCTAGCAGCACACTTGTTACTGAACAGTTGGGGTTACCTGTATGTAACTTATTTCAGTCACAATCAAGTTGCAGAAACTGATTATGATGGATGTGTGTTGCTTGGGCAGTTAAGGAGGCAGGTCTATATTGTAAGTCTTGTTTTAGATGATTACCACGTGGACAGTGGGTTTGGCAAATGTCCACGGTTGATAATTTTTTTTTTTAAATATTTGTATAGATGATTTCCAAGGAAAAGGAGCGGGGTCTAAAACTTCTCAAAAATTGTCTACGTAGAATGACGACGTAGGTCTTTACCGTCTTCAGTATAGATTCTGGAATTTCCCTGTGCAAAAAATATTTTCCCTATAATTTTCTCACAACCATACCTAAATTATGTTTTTTCTTGATGTAAATGTGCAAACCAATTATGTAAAAAAATAATTGGAGAAAATCATAGAAGTGCAATTCAAAATGGCACATTGATACATCTACGTAACATAAGTATACTTACTGAGCCACAATCTGACGTTCAAAGCTTTATCGGGCTTTTGTGATAAAAAATACCAAAATTATTAATGCACCTCGGTTTCACAATTAAGAGGAATATCAATATTTGGCATCAATGAAAAATATAATTCATATTTGGATGAAGGTAAAAAGCTATGCTATTGAACAACAGTATAATTGGTACGAATTTAATGTAGCTTGAGTTGCTATAATGCAAATTAAAACCAAACAAACAACTTGCTGGTGAAATTAATATCAAGATCATGCCAATTTACATCCTTCTAAGGGCCCTCACTTAGCTCAGTCGGTAAAGGTGCAGCTATAAAGCAAGACCATACTGGAGGCGGCTGGGTTTGATTCCCGGTCCGGTCTAGGTATTTTTCAGTTACAGGCTTTTAGAAAGCTTTCACTTTAACAACTGTGGAAGTGCTCAAAGGACACTAAACATAGGGCCGGCGTAAAGTCCCAGTGGGGATGTAATAAAGCCAAAGAAGAGTGAGCCAATTTATATCACCGAAAAGTTTAAATGTGGATACTAAAGAGCCCCGCACAATGAAATCGTTGCGTTTGAGTTTGCATGTATTTGACAGTTAACCCATGGGTTATTTGTCAAATTTACGTCAACGAAACGCAAATGAATCCATTGTACGTGGTCCTTAAGCCCACTAAAAAAAAATGATTAATTGACCCTCCTCCTTACTACGGTATTCATATAATCAAATGGATTTATATTTTTCATTAATATGGCCTGCGTAGTTAATAAACATCCCCCAGTTGAATATTATACATTAAGAACTGATTTCTTTTAATGGCTTTGTCAGTCTAGGGTAGACTGAGAAAGCCATAAAAAGAAATCAGCATACATCCCAGTCGAACAACCTAACAAATTACGAACAGAGCTGATGAACTGTATATACAGGGCCTTATTTGAAAAAAAAGCTGTAGCAAAATGTGACAAATGTGAACTGAAATTTTCGAGCTACCATAGATGAAATCTAATCCAGTCACTCCCTATCTTTTACTGTCATGCACATAGATTTGCACTTCTTAAAGGTAATCATGTCCAAAGGTTTCGCCCTGCAAACAAATGAAAACCCCGTTCATATAGATACGCGTTATCCTACTTATGGGTGTGTTTGTGTGGGGGTATGGAATCAGAATAACTGGAAAAACGAAAAATTAACTTTTTTAAATTTACTATCAAAATCATGATAAGCGTACCGTACATCAATTTGCGATATTATCAATGCTTAAACTGCATGCCCTTCAATGTCTGCCAAATTTTCATCATTAATGAAAATATAAATTTCCATCATCATGAATATATCAAATTCAATGATTTTCACTGTGATTCTGAATTTTTAAATAAATTTAGTTCCAAAGAAACAAATCACTTCCTTTCTTTCAATCGCATTTGCACTGGTGGTAAATTAACGATTTGCAGCATTTGCGTAGGATTTATTACATTTTTATCTGAGACATGCACTCGAGAGTTTGATGATTTGCCTCAATCTAGACTCCGGAGTCTGCTGTTTTTGCACTTCACGCTCTTCAATGGCGTACGATATTTTCCTCGGTTTGTTTCACGCGCGCGGCGAAGCTTAGCACGAAACATTTACGGAGTATCGCGGTATTGATGGTTAATGCTCAACTTCATGATGAAAATATCTTTATTTCGAAGGATTAAACCACTTTCTCCGACACTTTTGCATTGAGCGAAATTAATAGTATTAGATAAAGTTCCACCGTTACTGTCGGTCGATAGAACCATGCGTGCGCATACATCATTATTTACCCTTCCTACATGGGTGTGCCTGTTTGTAAATGTAGAACTGAATATACAAGGGAAGATTTCAATCGAACGATTTCTATCGCTTGAAATAAGGGCATAGAAATCGCCTCGAATCCAAAATGTCGTGTTCCTTCTGTCAGATAAATGGAACTATTATGGTAAAATACAGACCAAAAATCAACTCATTAGTAACAAAACCTTAATGTCAAATAAGATGCACAAAATGTATTTTTACAAACTTATGTTACGTTCAAACTGGGGAGTTATAACATCACACTTAGAAAAAATAATGTAAATTTAGGTGCTCTGAGACTGACATATACGAGCGTCAATTTTGACATAAAATTGAGTCTTAATAGACGCAAAATTCAGCTCAATCAAACGTACTTTCGAACTTTCCAGTCTCGGAGCACTTAATTTTACATAACATGTTTGTTTACGTCTCATCCTTTATGTCAAAGATGGATTCCGTCACGTGTAAGATTAGATATTTCTAAGTGTGATGTTACAAGGCTATATTGATGACATTTCGCTTGTCGATAATTATTTAAGGTCCGTAGTCCGAACAAGGCATTAGCTTCTAATTCAAGTTGCAAACTGGCGAAGACTTTTTCTCTTTGGAATCATCCATAAATGACGTAGCATATACTATATATGATCAATTTTATCGCTAATTCAAAGTTTAATGAGTCTGGAAGAATTGATACGCTGTTGGGTAACCATTGGTTTTTAAGATTGCTTCTACCGGGGTAGTATTCAGATGCTGATGATCTACCGGCATTACGAGGAACTCAACTTGGTTGGGTTGTTGGTGGTGGGTACCGTGGAGTGATGAATCCGAGCTTCACCCATTCACACGCTGTCATATTGGAAGGGCTAAGTGAATCGATCCAGCGCTTCTGGGAGTTCGAAGCCGTCCCCGAAAAGCTGAAGAAAACTAGAGAAGATGAAGAATATTAGGCGCACTTCAAGGCAACCCATCTGGCAGATATGTGGTTCAAGTTCCTCTTCGGGGTTGTGTGGACAAGCTTGATGACGGTCGAGCACGTGCTTTGCGAAGATTTAATGCTGTAGAAGGAAGACATGATCAGCGACCAGATGTCAAGGTGGATTTCACGAACTTTTTTGGGTGCGGATGCATTTTCATTTCGGCTCGCAATTAAGTTGTATATAAGGTACACCGGGGCAAGTTGAAATGCGGGGTAAGTTGAAACAGATGCCGTATCTAGATTTGTTTATTTGTTTATAAATAATTCAATTTGACAGTGTCTAAATGAATAAAACATAAACTAATTAGAGTTGGTTGGAAATGCTAACATGAAGTTTTAGTGTGATAATTTATTTTCTAGAGAAAATATCTTTAGAACAGGGTAGGTGGATAGTTCCGTTAGAGTATGGCAGTATGATGGAATAGAAGTTGAAAATGAGCGAAGGGCCATTAATGCGACAGTTTTTTTTTAAGTTAGACGCACATCTTTTGCCTAACCCGTACGATGTACGCGGAGACTTGAAGTATGTCTCCAAGTCTACAGGCAAAAAATGTGCGTCCTTCTTTTTGCTCATAAACTGACTGCGGCTGTGGAATAGTTCTAGCGACGTTTTCATCACTACCTAAAGCCCCACGTTGCGAGAGCATTTCCAGTCGATGATGTGTTATAGGGTAGAGCGCTACTTCGTCGTAATCGCCCATTTCCGTTCTATCGATCAGAAAAGATCAATAATATCAATGATTTCACCGTGCACAAATCAATAATAGGTTTGTTCCAATGCGTTAGTTCATTAGCTACAACATAAACCCTGTTAGAGCGCATGGTATGAATATTTACACTCATTAAACTCAAAACAAAAAAAGCGCTCCTAGCGAATCCCCTTTTTCTACGTTTATCCGTAGGACGAAGAAAATCTAATGGCGTTTCAATGCGTTAGGACGGAATTGAAACTCGTAGAACGAATTTAGAATCAAAAAGTAGTGTTAGATTTTAGACAATATCTCAACGATTTGTGACTCTTTATCAAATCCAACGGTACCCTACTGCCTTCTCTCTGAGATGACCAAGTTGGTCATGACGAGAGAAGCAACACAATAGTTGGGTAAAGAAGAATAATTCACAGTGAGCATGCATAAGGGCCAATACGCGATGATCGATTCTCTTCGTCGATTTTCTCTTTTGTTAATAACTCGCTAGATTTAACGTTTCTCGGTGCGTTTGGTGTTGCTTTTGATAGCCAATATAACCTGTTACTACTCTGCATTGAACAAATTCTAGAAAATTGTTTCGCTTAGCTGTAGCAATGCAAAGAGAAAATCGATGAAGAGAATCGATCATCGCGTATTCGCCCTTATGCATGCTCACTGTCGAATTGCATTATAACACACCATCGACTGGAAATGCTCTCGCAACGTGGGGCTTTACACGGTAAGAAAAAAGTACCCAAAATTGAGTTCCTTTCACTCATCACGTGGCTTCCGTGGGGCTAGGTAAAATTAAGTTAAAGAAGAAAACTCAATTTTGAGTAATCCTGGCGTTGACCAAGTTGACAAAAAATAATAAAACGGAGCAGACTGGAACCGAACCATGGACGTTGAGATTACGGGGCCCGTGTGTTGATCACTCGTCTATCAACGGTTGTGAAAATGAAATGGTTAAAGACGCATAAAAGCCTCGATAAAAGCAACCTCAATGAAAATGAACTTATATTTGAGTTCATTTATTATTACTCAATAGTTGAGTAAATTTTAACCAACGCCGCTTTTCTGATTCACTCAACGGCGGACCTCAAATGATAGAACCCAACGTTGAGTTTTTTTAACTTAATTTTGAGTATTTTTTCTTACCGTGTAGGTAGTGATGAAAACGTCGCTAGAACTATTCCACAGCCGCAGTCAGTTTATGAGCAAAAAGAAGGACGTACATTTTTTGCCTGTAGACTTGGAGACATACTCCGCGTACATCGTACGGGTTAGGCAAAAGATGTGCGTCTAACTTAAAAAAAACTGTCGCATTAATGGCCCTTCGCTCATTTTCAACTTCTATTCAATTTTCATACTGCCGTACTCTAACGGAACTATCCACCTACTCTCTTCTACAGATCATTCTTTAGCTAATAAATTATCACACTAAAGCTTCATGTTAGCATTTCCAACCAACTCTGAAAATCGCTAACTTCACGTATGAAGTATCATAAAAACACTTTGAATAAACAAATTAGTTACAATCAACGGTACGAAAAAGGTCAAGTAGCCGATGACGGAACGGTCAGCTGACACATTGAAGTCGAACACACCAAAGAAGTTGTTGAACTGCCGGCTGATTGCTGGAATTGGCTCATGTAGTGCATAATTCCTGCTCTGTGGTTCCAAAAATAGAATGTCACGTTGACGAAGAGGTCTCTCGGGAGCGTACAGATTTACCTGTGCCAGCATTGTAGGACAGTCGATGTCACCCGTGAGCAGCATTCCAGCGAACATAGCTTGAGTGACCGTCCATCTCACCTCTAACGGTTCAATGCTCAGAAGACGGCAGCGCTTCTCGTACGGTGGTAGGTTTTTTTGTTTCACGCCAGTTTAAAAAAATAAACGAAGACCGTATCTTACAAACTTTCGTTAAGATGAATCTCTGTGACATCCTTATTCTCGTAACCACTTCGATACTTTAAGTGCACAAATGTGATCTACACAAGCAAGACAAGATCCGGAGAGGACATAGTCAAAGATTATTGGTTCGTTAAGATGATAGGAAATTATGTAACATTTTTCGATGCTTAGACTCATCAAATTTCTTGAGCACCAGACAGCAAAAGTACATACCATACTCTGTAGATCCCAACAGTCCGAGAGGCTTTTTATAATCTTGTAAATTTTCGAATCATCTGCGTAGAAGAGCCGGCAACATGATGGTAGCAAGAAGCAGACGTTGTTTAAGAAAATTGAAAACAGTATCGGACCCAGGTTTAAATTGCGGGACACCCAACAAATTGTTTGAAAAAACTTCCGATTCCGACGTTCCAATCTTGACCCGTACTGAGCGGCTCACCAAGTAGGATTTAAACCAATCCACGCCTTTTGACGAGGCGCTGAGCATCTCCACCATGCCAAGCATGATTTCGTGATCCACCGTATCAAATGCGGCTTGTAGGTCCATATATGCAGCATCGAATTGCCATCCAGAATCCAAGCATTGCAGACAGTGAACTGCACCAGGCTAGTGGGTACCGAGCGTTTCGGATAGAAGCCTTGTTGATCCGTATCGATATATTTTTTGCAGCACGCGAACAGCGCATCATTTATAGTAATCTCGAATAGTTTTGAACATGCACACAGGGAGGCATTCCGTTTATCTCCTTTTTTGTAGATTGGAAATAGATAAGAAAGTTTCCATAAGGCGGGGAACTCGCTATGCTGAGCCAAGAGATTGAACAGCCTCACAAGCGGGAAGCATAGGTTGGCTGCAAATCGTTTTAGAACTGATACAGGAATTCCATCACGATCGGCGGCGAACGAGAGCTTTAATTTGCGTGTTGCGGCTATCACCATGTCTTCTGAAATGCGACAAATATCAAAACTGATCGCATCACGTTGCACCCCGGCAGTAGCATCCATAAATTGTGTCTGCGACGCTGAGAAATCGTGGAACACTTGCTTGAAATGTGCAAACAGGTTGCATTTCTCACTTTCGTTATTGGCCGTATCATTTCTGAGAACCATGGAGCAAGGCAACCCAGATTCCTTCCGTTTGGAATTAACAAACTACCAAAAACTTTTCGGGTTCGTGCGAAGGTTCGCTTCCGTGCGTCTCACGTGTCGATTGTAAAAAAAAAACTGATTGTAATTTCTATAGCGACGATTTGCGAAATCAAACAGTCAATTGCTGTAGTTTCGAAGGGCGGCTGAGCGGTCCCGCTTTAGCACGCGTAGACAGACGTTGGTTCGACCACGGATGCTTTGCGGGGGTCACGAC